TCTTGAATTCTGTCAGAATTGGAGAAAAATCCGCAAATATACCTGGCAAGAATCCCTCGTAAGAGGAATAAAATCCCGCGTGTTTTATACCATTCACGATCGAAGACAAGCTCGTTTATTCGCAAACGCGTGGTTGCGGATAGCGTACTTGCGGGCGTTGAAGTCTCCGTCGTCACGCCGGGGACGGATCCGCCGGCAGAAGAGTAAAGAACGGCGACGGCCGTTGCGCAACGACGACGAGTGAAATTTGTCGGGTCGTTGAAGTTTACTTCCCTCGGACATCGCATTTCGGATTGGCACATACCTACACACACCGCGCCGGCCGCCGGGCGCCGGGGAGTGCAGCGCGCGTCTGCATAGCCGATGACTTCCTAGACGATTGCGCGACTGCCGCAGGATGCGACCGCCGCTCGCTTGCGTTATCGCTTCCGTTACGTCGTCTCGCCGGCGTTTTACGTCGCTCGCATCCTCCACTTTTTTTTCCCTCTTTGCGAAAACCGGCAGACAGCGGCCCGATATGTTGCACTTTGTTCGGGTCGGGGCGCGCCGGCAATCGGTGTGCATGCACGTAAATGACAGGATGGCGGTAATGCCGGGTTGCCACCGCGGCCGAGTATGTAGCATTTCTGCGTTTATTTCTGTCTGCCCGGTGAAACGTGACGGGATGGGAGGGCGTAATCAAGAACGGCCGCGGGCGATTCTGCATCTCCCGGCGCAAAGTTTAAGTATGGCATCGCTTTCATCGTAGTTGTTATCCAGTCGGAATCCAGATCGGCGGAAAGTGCGAGGGACTCGCGGCATTGTGAAACTCTTGAAACTCGGGGCCGATCTCGGTTACTGACGATAAACCGCTTCGAGATATCAGCAGTTTCCGAGCTGTGTAAGAATAAAGAATGATTCCGCGCGAATTACATTTCAGAAACAGCATTGTGTTTGATCTTCATTGAGATGTTTTGAGTTAAGCAAACGCTCGCGAATTAGCACCTTTTCAACAAACACGGTCTTACTACATTGCGGCGTTATAGTACTATAAACTCACCCCACTTTGCTTTTGCAATCGGCGGCGGATGTGTATTTAGACCGAACCTATGTTTTTCATCGGTCGCAGGAAAAGGCGAAATAATGTAAAACACTTAAGGCTAGTTTCCTGTGCCCGGGTTCATTGCGCAAGGGACGATATGGGTTACATAAATAAGACCCTTTCGTTTCGCGCGAGAATAACGCGAAACGTTGCTGCGTCGGCGCTCGGTGATTTGAGCATTTTGCTCAGGAAGGTGACGAGACTCCGACGCCCATTGAAATCATCGGCTTGAAAACGGCAGCGGCAATCCGATGAGGCAACGTCCCGCCTTGCATCGTGCGCCGTTGATGGGCTCGGTGCGTGATGATGTGGGGTTGCGTGTCTTCGATACGGCGAGGAGATTGAAAAGCGTGTTCGCTCGCGATGGCCGGCCAGAAAACGCGTTGCATTACTCGTGCAATTAGTCATGAGAGATTGAATCGCGTAGATAGCCGAGAGTGTACATCCTTTGTGCGAGGAGCTAACAGCTCTCGCGAGAATTCGCGCGCGGGCATTTGTGGCAATTTCGTGCCGTGAAATGGACCTGCGCGATTAGACGCGACCGTCGGAGAAAAACGTTTCCGTGCACGGTTGTTGTTGCGAAAGGAAGAACCGGGCAATTTTACGGGAAAGATCGAAACGGCATCCCCTCGCGTCTTTTGCATTCGCAGAAAACACCCGGCAAAATCGGCTACCTGACTCATGTAACTTCCGTAGACGTGATTGCGAATCGATAACACGCGATGGCGACTGGCGTTAGAAAGGAAAACAGGAACGACCGCATTAATTAGCACGTCGTTCTGGGTAACTATCGTCGCCATACGAGGGCAAAAGTGAAACCTTCCGGTACACAGAAACTAGGTCTCTTCACGTGAATTTCCAGTCTGCGAAATGTACGCATCAATATACTGAAGAATAAATATTGTAGCATAAAATCGATCAATTAATATTATGGTATGTGATCAGATTTGCTTAAGATATGTATAACATTTACATGGGATTTAAATATTTATAAAGTAAAAAATTGCATATAACTAATTGTATGCTTCTAATTATGTGTAAGGCACCTTTTTCACGTGCGTGCAGCAGGAGAGAAAAGTTTCTCCTTGAATCCATTATATTTTAATTTCTGAAAGAAAATTATATCTTGCAATTTATAGTTTAAATACAGAGATGAGATGCAAGTAGGCTCTATGTTACAGTTCTTTACTATTATCTCTTTTTTCGTCATTTTTAATGCCACTGTGATTCGCCTGAGATCTGTGCCGCGTTATTTTTACGAAACCTACATCGGCAGAAATAAATCTATTTGTCTGCGCCGTTATTCACGGAATACTTGATGATTATCGCATTAAAATAACAAGAAACTCATCGCGTTGCAGGGTCCAATGGCGCCGGATGCGGTTATCCGGGTGCACCGGCACATAGCAGCGTGCGTTTCACCGGCGGAGATATCGATGACGTTATAGACGAGGAGGATGCCCTCCTTAAGGATACGACGTTTCCTGAGGGCACCGTAGCCACGTATTCCTGCGAACGAGGATTCGAGCTTCTGGGACCATCGAGGAGGGAATGCCAAGCCGGAGGCACGTGGGTGCCGGAAGGCGTGCCCTTCTGTGGTATCTATTTTTTTTGTAATTACTTGTGTCTTATTCAAACGTTGACATCCGCAAAAAATAACTTGTATAGAATGATTCTCGTTTAGGTATGATTTCGTAAATTACGAAATGCAATTACAACTTTTTATGATAATATGACTTATATAATATAATACGATGACGTAATAACGCGACTAAAGAGATTCCTCACCAGTAACTATCACTAGTAGGTCCTACATAAAATGTCTCGGGCGTCTTTCTCTTTTCTTCTTCTCTAGATTCCAATTTCGAGTTGACCTTTTTGGTAAATGTTCAAACCTTATTAAAGCAGTTGTGTTAGTATTGATTTTAAAAAGAATTAATTAACAGTATTAAAAAGTTGTTAAAGTAAAAGAAATTGAATTTAGAAAATAAATAGGAAAGAAATTGGATTTCTCCAAATAGACATTCATTTTTAATCATTTATAAGTAGTCCGAAAACTGTATCAGTTTCTCGATGTTTTCGTGATGGAGAAATCGAGTTCAAGCCGGACAGAGAGTCCGTAAGGAAAGTATGACTGAATAAGTCTGGGACATTTCGCATAGGACATCTTGATACGGTATAGCCCGCCTTTCTATAATTACATTCGACGTTAACGGCCGATGACACCCGGTTGTATTTGCGTCCGCGCTGTTTCGGGGAGGCAAGTGACCCGGTTCCACGTGTCCTTGACCGAGCAGGTCCGACGGCGACGACGACGACTGGCACAAGAAGTGCCATGGCGCAACGGGCCGGTGGGGGCAGTGCACCGTTAACTCTGAACCTGTTGCTGCCTATAAGAACGCCCGCGGCCTTCCCAACCTTGCGCGCATTCCTCCGACACAGACCTGTCAGACTCTTCGCTGTCCTTGGACCGGGTCGAACGAATTTACCCCGTTCTTCGTACAGCCCCGGAAGCACCTCCGCGTCTTTCTCCCGACGTTTTCGTTACGCCGCGCCGCTCCATCACCACCATATCTGTTACTTGTCCCGACCGTAAACTTGTGCTTGTTTTATTTTGAACGAATAAGTTGAAGGAAAAACTCGGTTTATTCTAAGCAGGATGGAATGCCAATTTTCTTTTAATGACGTCTATGAAACCCGTTGTGCCCGAGACGGCTATCACGCTCATTAGCAAGTCGTTTACTTCATCAAGCACTTCACGTGCTTTCGTATACACGTGCGTATATGTTAATACCTTCTCACTCGCGAGAGATATCCGACCGGTGTAATGGACGCTTCGTATATTCCATGTATATGCCACAGGCAGTTACTTATCGCGCGGAATGCGTTTTCTATCCTTGCGTTCGATATCTTAGGAATGAGGTGACCGATTCTCCTTCCACTGTTTCGCGACTGAATGCAAAGAACGCAGAGCAAACCAAATGCTTATCCCATCGAATTGAGATTTAACAGATCGTAAAATAATATCCATCAAAAAAGAAAGCTATTACTACGAATATTTTTATATTTCCGCTATAAAAGTAGATGATACATTCTGAGTCTAGAGTTCATTTAAATTTTATCGATGATTTCTTCATTTCATAGAAGAAAATAGAATTAATACAGTAAGAACATGTTTCCTGAAAGCAATGGACCATACATGTACACACATATTTGTCCAAGTATAATTACTTACAATTGAAAACATCTTAAAGTCTCATGTCACGAAGATATTTGAAAAGAAGTGGATGATATGAATTGTAAAATAGTTGCTGAATAGCTAAAAAGTAAAAAATGGTTTGTAAAATAAACCGAGATTGTCGTATTTACTGTGATATAAATTATTATATGGAATGTCATCTGGTGCTCTGTTGTCCAACGCGTTAATTCAACGTCAACTTTAATTTAACTGTCCTTTCACTTCCGAAAGAACTAGAGCTAGAATCGGAGAGAAAAAGTAAAGTAAACCGCGAACTGACCTATTTTTTGTTTCGTTAGACAGTCGTGCAATTAACTGACGACTGAATGAAGTGCGCTCACTTCCGGAAATGCACAAAGTCGTTCTGCCTTTTACAATTCTTGCACGTGTTCTCGCGCGAAATGTATCGAAGTGAAAGAGCACGGGCTCGGAGAGAATCGCCCCTGATGAGATCTCACGGCCACGCTCCGCGAATTCAACGACAGGCCGAACTGGTCCAGGATCGCGAGAAGCGGCGCCGTGTTGTGGGCGGAAGTGGGTCGCGTGGATTACGAGTACACGATGTCGACACGCCCCGATGATTGCAAGGACTGTCTCTTCGTGGCGTGAACCAAGCAGAACGCAAAGAGAGAAAGAATAACAAGAAAAGTACCTTTGACAGATGCCGCCGAATCTCCCCTAATAACGAGCATTAAATGCGGCACCAATTATGATAAATAATTAAGAGTGAATCACCTATTCTCTTATTTATTTTACGAGTATCTCACGTGCAGTTTTCACGAGTGAAGAGATTAAATAGATGTTATCAAAACATTGACACTGCACTGACACTTTCTTCTGTCAGCAATGATTTCTTATGCTGCACGGAATATCGATATAGCTGATTCCGTATCATGCTGCAGTAATGAAACACTTATATCAAAGGACGTTCTACTTTATAAACGAGGAAACGTAAAAAGAGTATGTGCCGGTACGATAATTAATACAAATTAATTCCTGATAATTAATCGTTAACGATAATCAATGTTTTAACCGACCATGAGATAGTCGTATAAGTTTCTCTCTCTCTTTCTCCCTCTCTTTCTCAATTATACACGTAAGTGCGTATATCACGTTAAAGATGAATCATGTCTAGTAAAGGATTATCAGATATAGGCGGCCTGATAAAACAGCTGATTGAGATTAACTGCAGCGACGACGGTGACGGTGCAAATGTAGTTTTTATAAATACGCGACATCTCAGACATATCTAAACGACATATCTTACTGGAACAGGATTATAGGTCACGATTCTCGACCGATTAGAGGGAAAAAAAGGGACAGGTGTGAATGGAACTCTTAATCAGAAAGGCGGAACGTTACTTCTGAAATTATTTTCGAATTTCACGGTCTGCATATAAAAATCGTTAACGGCTTAACCTGAATGTTTCCAACCCTATTCCTGAGCGATAATATTGCCAATTATCCTCGGAAAATTTTAACACTTAAAAATGCCCATGACACCGATCTTTCTCTATTACACATTTCTCTCTTTGTTTAGCTGCATGCTTAAGTGTATCAAAATTGTATCTGTCTTATTTTCTGGCTAAACATATTTAGAAAAATAGCAAAATTAATTAAATGACGTCGTCTTCTAACCGGTTACCTTTCTTGCGTCTGGAAATGAGCGACTTTCTTGATAATTAACATGCTATGATATAACATGTGTTACAAATGGACAGTTAAAAATTTGAAGATAAATATAAAGATATCACGTAATATATTTTGTGTATATTTGTTTCATATGAATTTTTCTTTTGGATACAAGGCAACTTAATAACAGAATATTGTACTGATAAAGTTTATTTACAGCAATTTTCATACAAATAGTTTTGACGTTAACCCATAAATCTGCAATCGTTAGAATGTCGAAGAATTTCCGTTAGACATTCACGTTAAATGATAGTGCAGGTTCGGCAGTTCAGTAGAGCAGAATCTGACACATTCCTGCGGTAATCCTCATACCTATTTCTCGAGGCAGGAGGAAATACCGTGCAGATTGATGACGTTGTAATGGCATTTCTTGCGCGGGGCAATAACCGTCGTACATTCGCAGACGTTTCTTCGTCATTATTTCGACGATCGCGAGGCAAGTGCGCGCGCAAGCAGTGTTTGCACAAAATTGTTCGACTGCCCACCCAAGACGGTCGCAACAATTTCTCGTGATCCGCCGACCGCGAGAGCAGGTTGCCACTTGCGCAACTGTGCGTGAACTTGACTCTTCGAACGCGTACCTCTCGTTCGCCTTCCACTATAAGTACGCGCCGTTTCCATGAAGAAATTCATTTGCGATTGCGGACTTCCGGGCTTGACATTATGAGGGGGAGATATGCGGAAGGCTTGGAGTATCAGGCTTTTAAAAGTCTTAAATTTCAGGCCTGGGCACAAAATTTGCCAGGTGGTACACAGATGCGCATAAGGTCTGTAGTATATTCAAAATAATATTAATGTCATTCCATACGTAGCATTCTTTTGTAACATTTTTTGAGAATTTGAAAAGTTCATTGTTCGATTTCGATAACATGGGGCAGCGTATAATTTTTACATGAAATAGTTTGTTTTACGTGCCTTTCGAGTCTTGAGTTTTTTAAGCGCTTCATCTGTCACACATTTCTGTTCCAAAAATGTTCGGAAAAAGTGAATTACTCTGCAACTTTATAAGATAATATCTTCATAAAGAGTTATATAGAGTTTAACGCGCGTTATATTTGAAAATGTTTCAAGCTAAAGAGGTACAGTAAAAAAAAAGGAGAACTGTGTTCATGTTCACCGTCCGGCAAATGGCATAGTAAAACTTTAAGACAGACATAAAATTGGCGTTTGCCTATAAAATGTTTCCTGTTTTTCGATCTTAAGAATACATAAAGACTTGGCATTTTGCGAAAGTAAGATCGCACTTTCTTCTTCAGTACTCAATAAAGAACTTCCTGATCGCGTCACGAATAGTCCCAACTGGAATACCGCTTGTTATTATCGCTCGTTGTAATAAGAGCAGTTCGATGAACTTGGCAGTTTTCCGGGGGCAAGCGCTGTATTTTCTCTTCGCGTCATCGGTATTCTCGTCATGACAGAAATATGGCGCACGAGGATACCTGACCGATTAGTATGTGTTACATTACCTTGCCTTGATGATCAAACTAGAAATTGTATATGGCCTCGCAAAAATAATAGACGTATAATAGTCGTACAAGGATAAGCAATAGACATTGATTTTATGGGCATGGTAATTCTCAAAATAATTTTCTACATTTTACAATGTTATTTATAAAAAAAAATTAAATAGCGTCACTTTGCAACTATCAGTTATCTAAACTTTACTGCTTTATTCCTTCCAACAAAATATTTTTGAAATTAAATAACTTTTTAATATTACTAGTCTGTTAAATGATATCTCGCTCTGTATTATTTTTACCTCTTCGTGGTTTGGTTTTAATTAATTTCTTTAATATTTTACAAAGCTATCGATTAAAGCGTTGCTTTGTAAATATTTCAATGACGTAATTTCTTGTCATGAACATTATACATACTTTACGTGGAGTAAAGTTTATGAATAGTCATAGTATAAGAATCTTAAAAGCGATTTAATCTTATTGTTAGAATAAAAAATGTAGATAATTGCAATTATTAAATCGGAAGGCCAATCGGAATGCTTACCGTATTTCTCGTTACGAGATACCGACGGAAACGATATGGCAAGGCAAAAACCTCTCACGTTGCGTGTATAAGAAATAACTGTAAATTATGAGGTAGGTATGGCGTGCATACGTATATACGTCTTGTGGGAACGTGCGCGGCATACGTCGGCTTTCATGGGGGCGCTAGCCAATATGTAGGTTTAGGTCGAGAATGCATCGATTATCGTTTTATGTGGCGGACGGATGCCTAACCAATAGAATCTCGATTGCTTCGTTAGCATCACTACGTGGAACAGACACGGCTGATACGAGCGCACGCATCTCGATAAAGACTTTTATTTCGCATAACTACCGTATGATACACGTCTTTTAATTGGAAATTCTGCATCAAAAGCGCAAGTCAGTGTTTGAAACAATTACTTGCTTTGCGCCGCGAAAATAATGAAGCTAAACAGCATATAATCGCAATTTATCTCTTTCGGTTTATTTACAATTTCTCTGCACTTTTACGCGGCTAGAAAATTAATTTTATCGGCTCTTAATGCTGGCTCCAACATTAACGCTAAAAATTCCTGGTCCGGAATCGATTGCGTAACTTGACGCTTTCCAACGGCTCTCGAGTTTTCTTCCGTGCAGAATGCAGAATACAATTAAGTCCGAAGATTAGCCTTAGCGAATAAACCTGACCGCTCTTTCCCAACGCTTTTATCAAGAGCATCTTGCAGATGCGCTTGATGCATACGGGCGGATTTTCAGGCAGTCCTTTGTGTTTTGCGTATCAGACTTCTGCGTGCGATACGCTCGCCGTCTTGTCTGTGCATCTCCCGATTGTTTCCGCGCAAGTTTCCACGAGATACTTTGGGGCCGTGGTAACAGATTGCGTACGAGAAACGCGCGTGTCTCAAAACGGCGCTACGAAATGTTTACACCGCGGAGTTTACGGATCATAAGGACCGTTGCGTGAGAAATTCATTAGCATTAAATCGTATATTAATGTGTACTCTCGACACATGCAATTGAAATCTTTTATTATGTGTGCTGGCCGGGCGGCCGTTCCGTAGGGGCGCCTGAGGCCGCCATATTATATAAAATCAGATTAGATTGTTATTTGTCTATATCTTATTGTGCGGAATACTTGTAATTCTTTTCCCGAGAGCGCTATGTATTAAATTTGCACATCGAATGACGGTTACGGATGTAAACGGAGGAGGCCGTAAAACATTGGCACAATTCCATCGTAAAGTAGCATAACTTAATCGCAAGTGACTATCAAGTAAAGAACGACAGTTAATTTATACTCGTTCGCAAGTATAAATGAGCTGAATGTTATTACACTATGTAATACTCTTGCAAAATGTAATACTATTACGGATAACCGCCTAATTGGTCTCGGTGACTATCGAGTAAAGAACGACACCGGATTAGCTCATTTGTACACGTTCGCGAGTATAAATGAGCTAAATGTCATTATACTATGTAATACTCTTGCGAAACGCAGGAGCATTACGGAGACCCGCCTGATTAGTCCGGCACAATAAAGGGTACTGATTTCATCGCTAAGCAGATTCCGATTAGACGCGATTAAGGCCGAGGCGACGCGTATCGCGCGGGCCGATGGCACGCACCGCCGTCATCGCATCGGCGCCAATAAAATTCTCACGTTACGGTACAGTAAAACTACCGCAAGGCCACCAACGTGTTTGCGAATGTACGGCACTTGCTGCACAAAACTTGGCGATGGCCATGGATGACCGTGGTCTCCATCTGTGCGTGCCGTTCGGCTATTCACCCGTGCGGCCGCGGCGTCGGCGGCGATGGTGGCCGACCTTCTTTTTATCGGACAGATATGGCAATGAGTTACGGCGATTTTCTCACAGGGAATTATCGCCGCGTCACCGTGGTATGCACTCGGCACAAAAAAGAAGAGAAGTAAGAAGGAACGAGCTGGTTGTGCATGTGAATCCGACGCGATCATCTCTCGCGTTCGTCTTTGCCTTATAATCACGTAGCCGCCCGCTTAATTTATGGATCACCTTTAGAACGGCGTTGTAATCTCTGACTACAGCGCGATGTAATCTCAAGCCTGTCTTCCATCACAATGTGCCCGGAGACTTTAATCGAGCGCCTCGTACCTATTAGGAAGGTGATAAGTAGTTGGTGGAGAATTGATTGGAGAGAAGAGAGAGGGTCGGTTTTTGCCGTACAATTAGAGACACAAAGGGTGCGAGATGCTACTTGCAGCTTAGCTTGGTTGCATTTCGTCACGTCGTGTCGTAGCACCAAAAGGTTTAATTGTCTTCCAGCGCCCACAGAAATTGGTCGTCCATTTCAATCACCGATCCATTTCAACCATTGAGCATCACAATCAATTGCACAATTCTCCTTCGCAGTTCTGAACGTGGCGGCCGGCAAGGCGCCGATGCAGTCCAGCACCCCGGATGGCAGCGGCGCAATTCCGCATCGCGCGGTCGACGGAAGCACCAGCCAGAGATTCACGCCGCAGACCTGCACCCTGACGAAACCCGAGCACAAACCGTGGTGGTACGTGAACCTGTTGGAACCGTACATGGTGCAGCTGGTGCGACTGGACTTCGGCAAGCAGTGCTGCGGTAAGTAATACCGTATATTTCTTCGCGCTCCGCCGCACGCGAGAATTTACCGTTTCGCTTAATAAATGAACTTCTGCGGATCACAAACGATATTTCTTATCGTTCAGCATTCAATGAGCTCGCACAGCGTGTCGCGCATTCCATAAAGGTATCAATCGCGCGAATCAAAAGTACCTTTGGACGATTGTGTTCAGAGAAGGAAATAAAAATATTAGGTAGAAATTGGGATCTGCGAGACGCCGATTGATTGCTGGCGATATTTTATCGGGGATTATTTATTGCGCGCTTTGAAGTCGAAACTTCAGCCATTAACTACGATCGAACTACGATCGCACGAAGAACTCGGATACAAAGAACCGCGAAGAACTTGAGATGCTCTGAATATTCTCTGAATATGATAACAAGTTGAATGCTAAGTATAACGATAGATGTGTTAACACTCGGATATATTGCGTGGTAGTGGTCAAAGCGATGATTAAGAGAGCGAACCGCGGAAAATTGGTATTTGCACTGCGGTCTTCGAGCACCGACGATTCGCTCTGTTTCAAATTATTGCTCCGGACGAACGGTCGACCGTTTCTTTCCAGCAGGGCGATTCGCGGCGTTAAAAGGTCTGTCGTAGAGTCTGAAGTAAGAGAAAAAAAAGTAGCAAACGCGATCGTAAGAAAGATCGCGATGGCGACCGTAATTGGACCTTTGCCGTTCGTGCGACGGTTTACGAGCGCGTCAAATCGCACCGTCCGTTTTCTTTGCGGTGTCAATCTCTCGCGGGTATTGAATCCGGCGCTCGTTATGAGGTTGCGTCGCTCAACGGAATAAATTGGTAAAAAGCGACGGTGAAGATCGCACTGCGCGCGTTGCAATTTGCCGCGGAACGCTCCATTCTGCAACGAGCGTTGACTGAGCTGATAAGCGCGGGCGATAAGGTCTCTCTGTATGAATTCTGATGCGCGGCTCACGCTGTCGAGATAGAATTCCCGCGATACCGTAAATATCCCGTCCGTCATCCGGCACTTTCGTTTCTATGGCGCGTTTTCTCGACTTTCTATCAATAAATAGGCATTACTGAGATAATTACCGGGAACGATGCCCGCCAGCGAGATGAATTTGCGATCGCGAAACAAATTCAACGTTGAACACTGTCCGTTTACGTTCGGATCACAGTATTTTGGGTTAAATTATGTCAAACAATTTGTTCCCATTGCAGACATCTCTATCCGAAAAGCATATTAATTATACAAATAATGCTGATGGCAGTCGCCTCTCTCCCTTTTCTCTTTGTATTTTCTAAAATGGACTTTTTGTTTAAGAAGATGTGTAATTAGTTCTTTAACACATTATGCTGGACTGTCACGTATCCTAATGTCGAAGAAATCTCCGGGCTCAAACGTAAATTTTCTGAAATTATTCTACTTTGTTTGAATAAAAAATATTTCTTTTCTCATAGCTTATTCTACTTTCTACTGTTATACGCGTTATTTTACTTTCTACTGCTGTACGTTTTGCATATAATCTAGAGATAATACGCGAACAAAAGCAGATTGTGATTTTACAATCGACGCTGCAGCTGCTCTGATGCAGCTCGGATGTAGCTATTCTCCGGCCGCGATGAATCTCGACGCGATTCCTCCTGGAAGAGATCGACGCTTCAGCGAGCATTCGTCGATCTGAAATCGCGATTGCGAACAATCGGTCGCTTGAAGGGGGGGGGGGGGGGAGAAGCAGTCAATGAGGCTTTCGACGTAAAACAAATGGATCGAGAGTTTCGCGCTCACGGAGCCGCAGAAAGTCCATCTTATATTGTACAAACGATCCGTAAAATCTTACCGTAAAACTCGCACTTCCTTCCCTTTCCACCGACCCGATCGGAGGCCCTGCTTGCATACGAGATGATTTAGAAACTCTTTCACGATGAAAGTGAGAGTCTTACCACTTTCAATTGTTAGAAAACTACTGCAATACCGTCTGCCGCGGTACGCCGCATGAATTTTTCAGCGGCGCTCGAGAAACACGAGCTCGATCATCAGTCAACTCGAAGTTATCGCGTATATTTAATACCGGAACTAAATACATCGCTTTGTCATTTTTCTTTTCTAAGGGGACCCAACATTATATATACAGGGTGAGTCTTTCCATATCCGACAAAACTTTTGAGAAGGTAGAACGGATCGAGATGAACGGAAAAGTCCTGTACCATTTTGCAATTTTCGTAATAGTTAACGAGTAATTAATTATTAAAAATCGTTGTCTTAGGCCGGCCTACCGCCCAATT